ACCTTCTTCTTCAGAAAAGCCTTTACTTAACTGGTTCCATTCTTCACCCCTCTGCTCTTCTTAATACCAACTTCCACGGTCTCCTCTATCGTTATTGTTTTATTGTTGTAATTATAATTGTGTCCTATCTTGTGAAATCTTCTTATTTATTGTAGTAGTCTTCTTATTTATTGTTATTGTCATCCTGTAAAGCGCTTTGAGAAGCCACCTTTAAAGGCACTATATAAAATAAAGTTTATTATGATTATTAAGTTTATCTTCGATGATGTATAGTGTAATATACTGGCTTTTTGTTACATTTTGAATTTAATAATTTTATAGGTTTCCTCCAAACAAAACTTACCAGACCTGTGAAAATATCCTTTTTTTCTTGATCCTTAAACCTCATATATGCCATGTGACATAATGACTCATCCTGAAAGACAAACTGGTTAAGACCTTATTATTAATGCGACCCCTCTCATCACTTTGGTACTAAGGAGGTATTAAATACTGCATGCATTTGAACCAGGATGTTTCACATAGATGGGCAGATATTTTACTCACTTATCCATTAATAGTACTGAATTATTTAAGAAATTTCAGGATTCTATAGTACTCCATAGGACCAATGCCACATGACACAAGACTTACACAGTATATAGGAAGAATTTTCCTTATTCTACGTTTATGACTTAGTTTGCCAGATACTTTTATCCATTTGCGAGGCAATTCACAGAAGCAATTGGAGTGATGTGCCTTGCTCAATAACACAGCAATGTTTGACCCAGTATTTAAACCTCAACCTTCCAGTGATGACTCTGCAGTCCTAACCACTACTCCACACTGCTGCCTACATATTTAAATTACCAAAAGCTGATGCACACTACTTGGTTAGGGAAACACACCGAATATATCATTTTGAGAGGCATTTGACAAGAGAACCATTAGAAATGGCACAGGCCCTGTTAGATCTGACACACTTTCCTGTTCAAAACTGTCTGTATCACTGCACTAAGATGGACAGTTCCCATGGTTTTAAAACTATAAAAACATTCTTTTCCGTGCCACAAAGCATATACCAAAAGTCCAAATATCACTCTTTTAATTGTGCAGTTTTATGTTGATTTTTACCCTCTATGGCAGTGTGCTGCTATAA